GAAAAGATAAACGACTTGGAGGTAAACCGGTAGCTATAATTCTGTGTTAAACGTTCATATAGCTTGTGGCGATGTCGGCAAACGAAGTATGCTGATTAACGAACAAGGATAATATTGTAAAATAACTATTCAAACTCAATGGACTATCAAACTTTACTTGTGTAGAAAATATTCAAAGTTAAAAAGGTCTACAGACTTGTACAAAAAGTTCCAATTTATTTTTATCATAAAACAAATACATTTTCGGTAAAGAAAACAAAAAGTTAAAGAGATTGGCAAAAGTAAATTTATTTTTGAGAGCTAAAACAGTTTTATATTATATTGAGACTGAATTTTTTACTGATTAGGTTTTCGTTTTTTAAAAATGTTTATCATGAATAAACGCATAAAGAACACTTGATTGTGTTTAATTTCATTAATAAATGATTGAAACGTTTTTAAAATTAAATTCATAAAAAAATGAATTTGAAGTTAGAGATTGTAAAATGTAATTTTTATTGAATTCGCATTATTACTGATATAGTCATACATTTGTTTAGAATTTAAACAATGTGTTATTAAAAAAAAAACACGCTTACTCTCGTAGTATTGTTTTTTGTAATAACTTAATAATAATATTGTTATATTGTTTGAAAAAATACTATATTACAATATATCATAATAAAATCGTTGAATTCGTATTTAAGTAATTTTCTTCTTTAAATATCTATTCTTTAAATACATGTTCTAATATTTGTTTAAAATTCTTTTAACATTCACAATGAGAACAACGAACTAAATGGATTGTAAATTTCAAGAAAAACATGTCAACAAAGCAATAAAAGCTTCTTTTGAATTCTTATGTAAACAACAATTTGCTCTAAAGAAACCCGTAATTATAAAAGTTTATGAAAAATATATAAATCATCCGACAACAGGTATACTATAATGTATTAAAATTCCGAAATTTAGTGAACATAATGAAAACACGAACAGTAAACACATCATTTATTCATGCTCGTCTTAGTATTCCATTAGGGTCAATATTATCCCCTCGAGAAATGGATCACCAAATGTCTTGAACTTTTTATTTTATTTAAATTTTATCCGTTCATTTTTTAATGTCATGCAAATTCGGTTAATACTCTTCGTAAGCCGAGGCGTTAGATGAGCGCGTGTTAATAAAAGATAAAAGGGTCAACTTAGTATTTGGGTACAGATTCACCGGTCGCATATTATAAGGACCGGTGTCCTCCTAAGCATTATGCAAAAACATCCCGACGCCTACATATTAATGATAATAAAACTTTTGCCTGTTGATAACGATAATAACGTCCATAAATATTCAGATCTGCAAAGGATGGCTATAGCTACAATTTACTCTTCTCTATTAGACTCTGTTTATCCACCAACATAATTTTAATAATTTCATTCGGCCAGTCTCTTTACAAAAACTTATAAAAATGTTTGATAGAATATGTAGTAAGTAATCTAAAACATTGTCGTTTTATCACGATTGAAATATTCAACCTATCAATGGGCGCTTAGAAAGAATGCCTCAATTTTTTTATAGCACAGATTCAATAAAAAAAATATGTTCGGTGTATAGAAATAGCCAACCAATTTATTACTAGTGATACTTTATAATAAATTTCATGTCATACTTAGTTTGTTATAAATTTCTGGATACCCTATTGGGTTAGTATATATTCTAATCAGCATCTCAAGACAAACAAGCATAAAGTGTTGGTATATAATGTGACCCTTTACTAAATCAAATGATAAATAATAATTATTGTTAACCAGCATATCGTAATCATTTATCAGCCGTAAACTATATCTATAAATTAAATACTCTGACGCCAAGGTTCAGTCTGTATAAACGTTTATATGATATTAGATACCTAATATTATTGTAGTTGCTGCTAGATATTATTATCAACTATACTTTACGTGTCTCGAGGTATCTCACATTAATACAAGCTATTCAAATTACAAGCGAGCTTGAAATTACATAGTAACACATTTACAAGTATCGATTGATCTAAAAACATCTAGTCGGCAATAAAACAAGTACAGTAATTGAACTTTTATTAATATAATCACCGAGCTTTTCAGTTTTCGTAAACACGTTGATATTAAATTTTTTTATTTTATTCGAAATCATTTTAATGAACGTAACTTAGTGCACGTTATTTTATAGTATGCCTATAGTCGATGTTCAAATAAATAAGCATCCCGCCGGAATTCTAAAAACGATTGACATTTTGACGTCTGCTGCAATTATACGAGTAAAAAGCAATGCCAGAATTAATTTATCTCTCTTTCGTTTGCCGAGTTTTATAAGATTGGTCGATTTTTAGCGGAGTAAAATTGACTCGACTTAAAACGAGGTCCTACCGTTTTATATATTTCGACCCTTATGATTCAATTAATTTCTCGTATCTGCAGAGAGCAAGACGGGCCTTCGCATCAAATTCATTGTGTTCAGTCGACTTTCATTATTATACAATAACATAAACAGATCTCTGAAATGTTGTTTTACCATAAATCAATTTCAGCAATCATAGCAGTATACGTGTGCATTACTAATATTTCTCAGACTTTAACACTTTAAACTCATTGTGTTTTTAATATAATTTATGCACAACAACAATTAGTTTTAAAAATTATCAGTATAATTTTTAGAGATTTTAATACTTTTAAGAGAAACTCTTTAATTTCAAAACAAATAATTTACTGTATAAGATGGCAAGATCTAATTGACAAACTCTGATAACTTTTGATCCAATAATTATTTCTATGTAATTTTTTTAAACAATTTTCACATTTATAGATTAAGTTAAAAGCATATTTAACAAAAATAACAAAAAAAATTGTTTTTTTTTTTTTATATTTAAATAGCAGTTTATCAGAGCTTTTTTTACACAACAAGTTGATGAGTCGATAACATATTTAAGACAAATAATTATTGAGTTATAAGCATTTTTATACATTGACTGGGTTTGATTCGCGGGTGGGTATAGGTCATACCGGTGTATATTTATAACGCATACTCCACCTACACTACATACCCACTCTATGTATCAAAATGCCTGTAACTCTATAATTATTCGTCTTAAAATTGTTTTCTAACTATTAATTATTTTTCCAAGGAAATTGTTGTAAACTAGCTATATATATAAAAAAAAAATTAGTTATTAAAAAAAAAAAATAATAATATGATTTTAACGTAGTTTAAATCTAATATATTATTATTTAAAAAATGAAATGTTAATTAAATCATAACTTATAGGACTTGTAAGTTATACATAAGTAAGCATATGTTCCACTGTGTATAGTAAAAAATGTTAATTCATTTATTTGAAACATTAATAGGAATATGGGATTATACAAAGAAAAGCATTTTTTAAAAAGCAAATGTCCAAACTATTTTGCCCCCTTGGATTAAATAAACAAGTAACGAGAAAACGGCTAAAAAAAGAAAAGCTTTACTTTATTGTTATTATTTTGCTGTCGAAAAAACAAAAACATTACGATTTCTGACCCAATAATATCTCGTTTAACTGCCAATAAAATCATTTGCCAATCTAACATTACTTTTTATCTATTGACATTCAAAATTTCACCTGTGGGCTTTGACATTGAATAATAATAATAATAAAACGTAGGTAATAATAAAAAAATGCACAGAAAAATATTTTGGCTTTTTTAACCACTAACTATAACCTATATACTTAAACGCACAAAAGAAACACAATAAAATATTCCTATGTTCCCTAGTGTGCCATAAATTGACACTTTTGAAGACTGTTATTCCTGTGCACTATACACAACGACTTATCTTATCATTTATAGTGTCATATTTGTGTCACTAGATTCACACTAGTGAGTCAAACATACTGAAAATTGTAGTTATAACATGTTACATTTAACGATAGTAATTTATTCCTCCCTTCTAGTGAAATAATCCAACCATTTCAAAAATTCTGACTTTTGAAGTAGAGTATTTTCATAAATTTATTAAAAATTTTCTTGAAATTTTACATTTATGAATAATTTTTGATTGGGATCATTAAATCTATAATGTAGTTATCAATGCTTTTTTTATTGATTGAAAAAAAAATTCTTATACTTTACTTTGAAGAGATTAATTTATAACTTTTTTTTTTTATCGTAACTAACAAAAATATATGTAAATATACACAATTATTTCAGAATTAATATTTATTTTTTTAATTAAAAAAAGTAATGAATAGACTAATTATATTTTTAATGCAAAGAATACCGATATGAATTTATTTGCATAAAATACACTCTAAATCTAAAGGCTCAAAGAAAAATGTAATGTTTTTTTTTAATTGACTTATATAAAAAAAATATAGCTCGGTAAGACATAACATTTATAAAGTAGAAAAAACTCATGGGTCTAAAAGTTTAAAAAAGTTCCGTATCAAGTACTTGAGTTTTCTCTTTGGGAAAATCAGTTTGCTTAAGCAATTTCAATTTTCTATTGAAAAACCTTTCTGTTGTAACTTTTTCAATTTCAAACTAAACCATTTGACCCTTAAAACTCTCGACCACCTTCGTTCTCCAATCCTTATCTATCATCATAACCCACATACGGTTCAGTTCCTGTTGATTAGCTATACAATTTAATGTTGTTCATCATGCACAATATAAGCCCATTTTTACAATATTGCATCTTAATTCCTCACCTAATTATAGGAAACTATCTTTTAAAAAGAAAAATTCAACCAATTAAATATTTTTAAGTTTCAGTGGAATCTCACTTTCCATTTATTCATCATTTTTGATGATTTCCTAATTAGTAAATAAAAAATTTGGAGTACTTTAAAAACCTTTTTAAAGGAACTATTTGAAAATACGTATTTAACAACCCATCATAGGTCACTTTTAGGTTACAAAATAGCATATTCTTATTGAACTTAAACAATAATTTTATTTTTTTAGATAAACAGATTAAGTTTATCTATTTATAAAGTAAAATTAAATCTCACCTTATTAGAGGTTTTATAAGCGTAAAGCAGGTCGTAAGCTGCACATACAGCCAGCACAGTTAGTCCAGTTTCTTTGGCCAGCATCGAAGATGCTGCCATTAATATTGTGGCTATCAAGCAAGCCCATTCTCGAACTGCACAACACTCAGTGACAGCTCCCGGTAGTCCATCCAGATCGCTTGAACAGGTACCTAGTCCCAAGGCAGCAAAAACAGTGCCAACAGCCGATCTGAGTCTATATGTTTTACGATGACATCCGGCACCGCAGCATACTTGTCGACGGTCATGTGTTCGATCACGGTGTCGAACGTGTGCTATATAGCATAGGAACGAGATCAGATAAAAAAGGGATGCCAGCAAATCGGCTCTGCCTACTATGCCTGCAATCGCTTCGACATGTACAGGGTGCACAGCAAACAAAGCTGCAGCTGCTGAAGAACCCCATCGTCCGGGCAGCAGTGTCCGATATAATAAATGTACTAGGTACGTAATTACGCAGTGAAGTAATAAGTTGGCTACATGGTAACCTTTAGGGTCTAAGCCTCCAGCCCAATAGTTTAACCGAAATGAAGCTACACATAAAGGCCGATAAGAACCATGAGAGTTTGTGGAACCTATAGGAGTACCCCAAAAATCGTTTGTCCAAATCTCAGTCAATGGAGTTCCTCTTGTCACATCTGGATTGTTAATAATAGCACGGCTGAAACATAAAATTTAAATAATAAATATAAACTAAAAATGTTTAATTAACAGTTAAATTATTTACATTAAGGTTTTTTAACTATCAGCTATTTAAATTGACCTGACATCATTAATAGATGAATATGAGAGAATCGATTTAGATATTTTAAGAGGGAAATAGGATATTGAAAAACCAAAAATGTAATGAATTGAGATTAAAAAATAAATTTTGAGTGACAGGTGTAGAAAAGGATGTGTAGACCGAGTTTTATTCAAGATAATAAATAAGATCCTAAATATTTGGTAGAAAGGCAAAAGAAAAGAATAATAACAATTTAATGTGTTAATTTTGATTTCCAAGTATTATTTTAAATGGTAAATATTTTTAACATTTTGGAGTTTTGAGTTTTTAAGTAGTAGTGAAATATTTAATAAAAACCAACAGTTTTACTATGACGAAAAAAACCTATCCAATTCTTACTGACCCAGTAGTTTGCACAAAAATAACTTTCATACTAAGGCAAATTGTGTTTTATTAAATATTATAATTAGTTGAAAAATTCTCAGATAATATAAAGTTGAAGAAAAACATATAATATCGACTACTCGTTCACAACTAAAAATAAATTGATAGCAATATTTGCATTATACTTGCATCGAAATAATATATATATTTGTTTTTTTAAACATAAATGCTAGCCACTAAGTTCATTTATTTTTATATGACCTTTACTTTGACTTTTTAAGTAATCTAAATAAATATAATGTAAATGTAAATAATTAATTACTCTATTATCTTACAAGCCTACTCTTTCATTCTTGCTGGTTATAATTTTATTAAATTACATTATTACTAGTATCAATTTAATTACATTTAATTTATCAATTAAGTTTTCTTATAATTACAATATTTTAACTTTTTAATCATCTTTTTATGTAAGGAAATTATTCAGCAATAAATATTATTTTAAAATTTATTTTAATTAAATCAATATTAATTTGTCTTACAAAAGCTATTCTGTAACTTATTTTAACATACATTTATAGAAGAGTATTTTTAGTTAACGAAAACTAAATGTATAAACTAATAAAAACGTGTTAAATTTAAATGGTGTATATCGGAACAACTGTGCATTTTATATTAATAAGGGGACAGTCTAGTCTAAAAGCTTGATATTTTAGTTGAGTAACAAAACTTATGAAAAAATGTCAAGACCAAACCCTTTATACAAACTTTCTCCAGTAATATTATTGCATAATTAATCTTTTTCAAAGTATCCTGAATTTTCCGTTTCCAAAATGAACTATGGAAACATTTTACTGACATTATCATAATTACTGTTTTCTCGGTAGATACTGACAATGACAATAAAATTAAAGATTTCAAGCTTAACACCTTTTAACTCGAAATAAATTCTAAACGAATTAATCTAAATATTTTATTGAATACTAAAAAAAGACTTTTAGCTTCGCAACGAAGCTGAGAAGTTAAAATATTGATTTTACCATGAAGTGCTTATTTTTATGTTTGTCCATGAAAATTTTCAGCTCTCACTAAACTGATTTTAATCATAAATGCGAAAAAGAATCTAATTACAATTTAGTTGAACAAATTATCACCAAACAAAATCTCTCAATTTTAGAAATTAAAAAAAAACTGAACATTTCAATATCATAAGAAATTGCATTTTTTTCTGCATTTAAAAACTGCTATAACTTTTTTTTAATAAAATATAAATACATATATAATAGTGAAATGTTCATGAATAATGGATAATGATATTTTTTTGGTATGCTTTTTGTGAAAATTCATTGAAAAACTTAAGGAAAAATAGGGTTTAAAACTAACTTCCCATGTATGTAAAAAAAAATTTTTTCAACTCTATTTTTGAAAAGACTCCAACAATGTATTTTTTTACTATACAATTTTAAAATTATAGAATTATAAGTTATTGGGAAATTTAAGATCTGATCATTTTTTATTATAATTATTATGTAAATCATTGTCAAATATCATCTATACATCATTTATGTCCCCACTATGCTGGATTTTTTATACACTAAATAACTATTAGCTCAACAAAAATAATTATATATGTTATGCTTTAATGTTTTTTTGTTATTTAGTTTTTCTTATGTCAGTTGATTTTTTTTTTTAATTAATAATTGTTTGTTAAGATAAAAAAACAATTTTCGATTAAAAAATATTTACGTGTAGAAGTAATGTTTTTCTTATAAATTAAACAACCAAAAATATGCTATAAGAAGTACAAACAAACTTCTATAAAATTGTTCTTTGGAGTATAATTGAAACGTTAAAGTTGCATAAAAATACTGAATAAGGGTTTCAATAGGATTTCAATTTGATTTTGTGCATAGAAATTGAAGAATCTCAATGAAAAATATATATATAACCTAACTTAAAGCAGTTATTACCACCATAATAAACAATTTTCATTGGTACGATTTAGATACCGTTCAGAATATTCAACTTCAGTTTTATCTAGCTAATGGAACTGAAATATTATTTTAAGTAACAGTTGTATAAAGAAAACGGTCTCTGAACTTTTCCTCGGTTTCTAAGAAACTTTTCGTTCAACGAATAAGTCTTGGACTGAAAAACATTGGCAGTGATCCCATTCACACGGGTCAAATCAACTTTATACTTTTCCAGCGGTCACGCTTTTCACAACAAATTCATTCGTTGTTATACTCACGAGTGAAGTCTTTTGTAGTTAGTTTTAATACACAAGTCTCCTTATACTTTACAGGGATCAGCTGAAAGAAGGTTTGCATAAGTAAGATGAATGTACCACTGTTTTGTAAGTACAAATAACGTACATAACGAACCAAATCAATAATGACAGTATTTTTTATACTTGGTTAATGATTCTTTATACGTTTTTGTTTATCCGCTAATGCTTCTTTTGAACAGATAAATGGATAATTCAGTCAACTAATAGAAATTCCCTTATTTTACTAATATTGGTCAAATAAAAATAAAGTTATAATTTGATTAATTTTTTTTTTTTGTGGAAGTTAATAATAAATTTTCACAAGCTTTATCATTTGATTTAAATTAAACTAATTTATACTCAAAATAATGTATGAATTTATTTTAAATAATTCTACAGTGAAGAAAAACTTGTTAGTATAAGAACAAATAAATTATAATATAATACAATATTATTTCATTATTTTCATTATAAAACAAAAGTAAATAAATAAGTGGAATGCAGAGAACTATCTCATCGGTCGTACAATTATATCTAAGGTCAAATTAATAAGTCAATTATTTTAAATAAAACTGTAGATCGTTGTGTTTATTTTGAAACATTGTTGTATACTCTTTGAAGTGATATGTTCAATTACATTCAGAATTTAAATTTTAAAATATTTAATTAATTATTTTTCAATTAATAACTATGGCTTATGACTATATTACTGTACAACCATCAGCTAAACATTCAGCCACAGTAAGTAATGATACCTGTTTATGAATTAAATATTAAGATCTAATGATATAGATCAATATATCGTCGATCTATATCATAATATAAGATACTATATTCTGTAATTAACAATTCTTAAAACTTGTTTAACTATTTTAAATACTAGCTCTAATATTTAAAATATAAATAGAATATGGCCAATTATTATTTTTATCAAGAAGACTGTATGATAGGATTTTAAAATTTAAAATAACTGAAATTTTAAAATTTACATTGATTTTATGGGAAATTTTTACAAAATTTTAATTTATTATGAAAAGGATTTTTTAAAACAAGCTTTCTAACAACCCAGCTGTAATGGTTATTACGAACACTAGGAAATTTATGAATTTTTTATGTTATTTTAAACACACCATCAGCCAATACAAATATTTATTAATTGACATATAAGCTTAGTAATTTTTTATTATTAAAATTAAAACTTTGGAGCTGTAAGGGGCATTTATTCTTTTTTGAAACGAATTTTGTCATTCCTATGAAAAAGTTCCATAAACTTGGGATCCTTCAAAGTGACTCAAACAAAATTTATAAATGCATATAATTCCTAGCCTTAGTTATTACTTATATACAATTTTTTTTCTAATTAAATTTTTGAATTAAATATCTCTTAAGTAGTATGCTATCAAGAAATTCACCTATTGAATTATTTTTTAGTATACCAATTAATATTATTACAAAATGTATGATTATATACCAACGTTTAATTTTTGTGTTGCTTAAAATTTTATGGAAACCAAATTAGTTTTTTATTGAGTTTAATTATGAAGGGTTGATAACTAGATTATCACTTCATGAGTTGCAGAAATTTGAATACTATGACTAGGATTGTGTCTCAAGTGATATTTTTTAGTACACATGAAGTCAAATCCAACAGCGCCAATTACCCTCTGTGGCTCTCCCAATGTCAATACAGACATCAAGTATTGCAATTAAATTAAATATACAATCAAAGAAGTATAAATGACTCATGTTTATAATTTTATCAGTAAAATAAAATAATAGGAATAATTAAAGATAATTTTAACAGATAATCTAATATTTTCCATTGATAAATGTTGCTTTAACTTTTTAATTAATTTGTAATATTTGAATTATGTAATGCACCAATGACTAATAATAAATTACTCACTTTTATTTTAATAAACAATTGACTGAATAATATAATGTTATTATTAATTTTCATCTGAATAATTTATTATTATTTTTCTTTTAGATTATCTTTTTCCACGGTCTTGGCGAATCTGGGTAATTAAAAATAATATTAATAATTACAATTTCGTTATTTGAATGATCTGTTATAATGTTACAAATAACTGCTTTGATTTTGTTTGGCAGCAATAATTGGTCAAATTTGTTTACGGAAATACGCAAGCCACATACAAAAATTATTTGCCCTTCAGCGTAAGTTCATTTTTTTACTAGTTGTCCGTTTTTATAAACAAAAAATCATATGATGATAGAACACAAAGTCAATCAATCAAAGAGACTGATATTTTTTATATTCTTATTACGAAATTTTTAATCTCTGTTTTACAAATTACTTTGATTTCAAATCAAGTTTATAATCTATTTTAATTAAAAAACAAAATTTTAACTGAAAGTATTTTCTTAAGGAGCAAAATACCATTGGACTTAAACAAAGGATATGCTATACCCGCGTGGTTTAACATTGCCTCATTAGACGAAAGTTCTATTGAAGATGAATCAGCTATTCTTCGAGCGGTAGACAAGGTCCATGATTTATTAGATGATGAACTATCTAAAACAAGAATTCCGTCGAAAAAAATTTTGATTGGAGGATTTTCACAGGGTGGAGCATTAGCTTTATATGCCGCACTGACTTATCATAAACCCTTGGCTGGAATCTTATTAATGTCTACTTGGATACCTCTACATCGAAGTTTCCCTGATGTATGTTTTATTTAATATAATCATTTAATTTTTTTTTCGCAATTTATATAATATTTTTAATACGCAGGCAGCAACAAATAACCAAAAAACACCAATCCTCCAATGCCACGGAACAGACGATCCAGTAATACCGTATAGATGGGGCCAAAAAACTTCCGTTATATTAAACGACTTTGTATCAAACATTGAATTTATCACATATGAAGGTTTGCAGCACCGCGTGAATAAACAAGTAGGTAAAAAATATTAAATATGATTTTTAAAATAAATGTTGGTCTAATAGCAGACAGAATTAATTTAGTAGTTTCAAAATACTCAATAAATTTATCGTTACAGGAATTGGAGGATATTAAAACATTTATTCATAAAGTTTTACCATAATGTGTTGGAGATCCTGCATTGTAATCATCATAGAAAGTGTTTTGAATTGACTCTTTAATTTCAAGAGTAATAGGTAATGTGTATCAATATAATTAAAAAAGAACAGATTTTAGAACTACATGTGCGAATTCACACTATAAAATAAAATACAATTCAATGAAAAACAATAAGAAATTGTTAAGAAAAAAAATATCTCAAGAATAATTAATCACTATGATTTTTTGTATTCAATATAGTCTAAATTTTCATATGGAAATTAATTCAAAAATCATTTGTTAATGTATCTCATACTGTAAATAAACTTTAGTTATATTATTTTTCTTATATTTTATATTAAATGTTTAAATAAAATACTTTATTTATTTAACTGAAATTTTTTGATTTCTGAATTTTTCTCAGAATATCATCTCATAAAAGTGAGGTGTAAATATTAAGCATAATAATGAACACTTTACTATTATAAATTTCTTTGTACTTGTGACAGCTTACGCAAAAATTGTTCAACTTATATGGCCACAATAAAAATGAAAGTACAATTGATTTCCAAAAAGTATTTTATCACTACATTTGAAGGAGTATATATAAAGTGATATCAATCTAATTAAAATATATATTTTAAAACTCGGATTAAAATTATATAGTATGAACAATTTAATGTAATAAATTTTATTTAATTATTGCTCATCAAATTTCTACATTAAAAATAAAAATACCATACTTATTATTACCATTTAATATAGTCACTTGGATGAACAAGGAACTTTCTACTTGTTCTATTGACGTTCAAAGTTCAATTAACCTTAGAATAATACAACGAAGGATATCAGCAAGTATAAATCGATTGTGTCTAGGCGGCTGGAAAATATCAAATTACCAACTACAGTACATGTATGTACAGCTAAGCTTATAAGGCCGCTTCTGAATATTTCCAATTAAAATTTTCCTGGTAACATTTGCGATATAATTTGATGTGGTGTAGTATTCGTATCGTATTACTTTAACAACTATTAAATTGCTTATACACATCATGTTACAAGAATGCTCGTCTCTTTCAAAAGTAAAACATTTAATTCAATTGAGAAAAGTAAAATATAAATTATTGTTGAATAATGTTATAAAGCCGTATAATATATACAGCAATACACTTAAAAGATTTTCGTATAATTTTTAATCCCTTGGTCGTATTTGATACAGATTAAACCAAAATTCAATTAATATTTTCGCAAGTTCACTATGGTAATGCTTACATTTTAATTTACGCTGACTAAACAATTATGAAACATATCAAATAATATAAATTGTGTTCTAAAAATATAGTTAGATAAGGAGTCAAACAATATGAGTGATAGTAAATTACCAATTAAAATTATAAATATTAATAATTTGTTATTCATAGAAGCATGTGTTATAAAATTGTATTTTATCATGTTCCATATTGCATAATAAAGTAGGTCGATATTTTTTTACGGACTGTTACAAATTTTTATAGCTAAGTAAAAATTTCAGTATGTCCATTCAAATTATTTTTACTTAATTATTAGAAATAGAAAATTGTCTATATCATCATAAGAGACCCAGTAATTAAAAGCTTCTAAACGCTAAAAATTTATAATATTACGATTAGACAATTTACAGTTCATTGACATTTAGGTTAATTAGCATATACTTTTTAACTCATATAAATGAAGTTCAATTTTATATACTATAAATTAATAAAGACAAAGAATGAATTCTAACCACTCTTACCTAGATTTCTGCATGTTTTAAAGTTAAAAACATGGGATATGAATAATTATTTTCCAGATTGAATTGAGTTTTTTTAAATTGTGTTACTCTTTTTAGTAGTAACCTCTATATGTCAAAAAATTGTGAACTGTAACAATAAAATATTGCCGAATATCAGTGGCGGTTTTCTTTACTCATCACTTCATTTTAGAGATAAATATTGCTGTAGGAAGGAGTGATGATCCCTGTACCCCTCTTGGTTACGTTTCTACTGAATGGATATATGACACTCCCCTCAGGACGAATCTGTTTTTTCAAACTATCATATTAACCATGGTCAAATTTTAAAAATTATTAACATTTTTCAATAAACACAGCTTAAATTCAATTAAAATTAATTTAAATACATAGTTTAATTTGAATAGTCTTAAAAAAAAAAGAAAAATAACACTTTTTAATACCATTGGAAAGTGTTCTTTTATTAAGAAATTAATGCAAAATATTTATAAAGGCTATTACTTCTTTGTATATCAATTACCGTAATAAATTCAATTTGTGTGTTTTTTTTTTTGTTTCGACAACAAAAAAGAGTAGCTATTAAACTGAAAAGTTAAAAGGCTTGAATTCATGAACTTTGAACTAACGAAGCGAAATGTCCCAACAAAAATAACTTTGGTGTTTTATTGTTTATCTTATTTTTTATAACAATGTTTGCCCTGATTAAAGCAAGTAGAGTTCATTCAAACAAAATTAAGCCGTTAATTGCTGTGTTTTTTCTTAGAGTTTTTGAAGAAATTTTACTTTTGTTCAATAACAGTTTAGGTTAATAAAGGATTCAACAACCCGAAATTTCATGATAAATAAATATCATAATAAACGAATAAATTAAACACTTAAGTGTGTTTAGCAACAAATTGTAATTAATTTAACCTAATGTTTATTGTAGCTGTTTTCGTTGAATTAGACAAACAGCTGACGGTTCACACGCGATTTTATCATAACATCCTTGAAATATATATTATTTCTTCGAGCTGTTTGGATAGCTGGATTGCAACTTTAACGACTTTATTATTAAACCCCACTATCAGTATAACGCACACGTGCTACGGAGCTTTCCGTTCTCACAATGCAGCACATGATAAGGTACAACGTAGTACTGCAACCTAACCATTGTATTCCTATTTTTCCGTGCAAATACATTAGATAGCCTCAAATTTGATTATTTCCCACAACATTAATCCATAGCGCTGTTATCGACATTATCATCTAATATGATTAACCGTCATAGTTTACATTTAATAATCAGTAGCGAAACGAGATAATATTTTATAGACAAAAATATTTTTATGTGATAAACTAATTTTCATTTTAAGTAAAACATGCATTATTTAACAATAAGTATAATTTGTTTGAAACACAAAGTGTAAATTTTAAAACCCTCTCTAGCCCACCTTTTCCGCTAATACTTATATCCAATCATTATTAGTATGTATAAGATCGAAAAAACTAATGAGATGAAATAATTATGTTAGAATCATAACATACATGGTATAAATATGCCATGTAATTTCGAAAATACTTTTGTTGAACAGATTAAACAACTTCGTTTATCTTTTTGTAGATAAATATTTTTCATAACGATGTAAAATTATTGCTATTACATATAAAATTATTCGTCATGTTGACGTCATTACTGCATACAGCATTGGTGTATAGTTTCAGTCGCAATTTTATTGACACTAAAATCATTTGGAATGTCGTATAACATTTTATTAGTTTTCCCTTTGCCATCTCTGTATTTTTTGTCAAACTAAATAATAATGACATGTACTAATATGACACACACACATACACAAACAGTATAGTTTGTCATTTTATTATTTGCCTGCGTTTTGTATACTCGTTCAGAGAAGACGAAGGGTTAAAAACCAAGTATTTTGATAAATATGTATACATATCCTTGTGTGTAAGTGTACTCAAAATAAGGAAATAATCATAAAACGTGCTTTCCCTTGGGCTGATGACGTCTTGAAAAATCCTTTGTCGTACCCCTCAAAATACCCAAAAAGTTTTTCTCTTGTTACCAGACGCTTCTTCTGGGTTAGTAACTTTGAATAGAATATTTTATCATCTTCTATATCATATTTATATGCACATTAAAAAAAAACTACTTGCTACCCAGATGATCTACGTCAGTCTTTTAAATGTTACACATATGTACAATACACTTATATTTAATCTAACTTTGGTTCTCTAATTTAGTTTTCAAATTAATTTGACAAATATTTTCACAGAAATATTCCTGGAATCAGGTTTTTGATAACCATTTGAAATTTAATTAACAAAAATAATTAATTATCGATCTAATCGAAGAGGAAGTATAATAAAACTTATTTTTGGAAGAAATGTTTCAAAATATGTATAAATCAACAATAGGAAAATAAATAATTTATAACTTCCAATTGGTTTCACCGCAATAATAATATTTACAAAAATAATCATGAGTTTCGATGTTGTATTAAATGAATTCCTTTATTAATTTTTGCCATAAATTTTTTTATACTTTAGTTTTTTATAATAGTTTATTTTTTATGTTTATTACATAACTGTTTTAGTCAGAAAAAATAATCGATTCAGACTCAGACAAATCGAAATTAGAATTGATTGTACAACTAATTTTGTTCTTGATAAATGAACTAAATATTTGTTCATAGATACACGATTTTGTAAAGCATAAAAAAGGAATAATAATAAAATAAAATATATGTAAAAACAAGTAAGTAATAAAAACAGTTAAATCGGAGACAGACGCTGTTTCAAACAAGTCAATCAGTTTCATACAACCGTCACATTTTTCCAAGTAACATCTGTTCTTAAATTGTATTTCCGTATTCATTGCTCATGCTTTTAGATTACTATTATAGATATAAAAACTGTACCATGGGAAAAATTACTTTCTGCTATTATTTGTTTCTATGCTAACATTTATTGGTTTCCTCGATAATTTAGCCGAGCGAAAGCTGACATCATTGATTCTGGAAGAATTATTGCGAAAAAGTTTAGTTATTACAAAGAAATAATTTATGAAAAAATAATTATTTTCTCCGTGAATACGGTAAAATAAAACGAGTACAAAATTCAATAAAAATCATATTAAACACAAGTAAGTCTGAATGCACAGTAAATATACAAAATGTTAATGTATGCAAAATAAGAAAAGTATTTTACTTCTTCATTATTACTAGAGTGAGTTTATAGAAATTAAAAATGCCTCAATTTATGTGTAGTATAAAATGTTGGCTTGGTATGAACCCTCTATTAAACATTTCATAGATAAGAAAGCGATGGACCTACATTAATTAAGAACACCACTAGCGTTAGTGATGTTACTGTTAATTATTTTTTACCCAGTTGGCAAGCAAAAAAACATTGAAACCACCTTTTTTCCGTAGCTTAACCTTTAGAACATAAAAATAACACGAAAGCCACAGCCGGAAACGGTGCTGTAATGAAATAATAAATTTTTCCTCGCCCAAATGCTTAACCAACGGTATACAAATAGCTTCTTCTCTAGTGGATAT